CGCAAGTGAATTGTAGGCACCTGAATCCTCCTAGAAGGTACCCTGTATCAAGATACCTTAGGGGCACTTATGAGGTTAGCGGAGGTGTGGGAGTGGTAGGGTCAAGCTCCCTGCGCTTCTCCAGTACCCTGATGGAGCTAAAGTTTAGCCTTGTTCACGGAGACCTACTCGATCTACTACCAAGAAGCAGGTTCACCTTCGATCCGGATGATCTTACATGGCTTAGGGTTTAGGGTTTAGGGAGTCCTCGTGTGCGCAGTTCCAGAAGTAAGGCCAGGGCGGCGTCCCAGCGCCTCCCCTTTGCAGGCGGGTTTGCGGGCCAAGGGCTGTGGACTTTGTTTTGCGGACTCTTTCGGAGTCTAGGGTCAAGGACTTTAGGGTTTGGGGGATGACGACTTCGGAGGTTGGGGTTAAGGATTTTTGGACGTAGAGTTTAGGTCCTATCGCAGGACACCGATGCATGAGCCTCGGGCAGGCTTCATGTCATGACTAAGTTTCAGACTGTAGGGTCTGGTTTCGACAGAAACCCTAAGCCAAAGGCATTACAATCTCGGAAAACGCCACCTAGTATCGCCACACACGCACTCACACATCCTGTGATGCTGCAGGTCAGTACGGACCCTGAAACTGAACCCCAAGAGAGCACAGCTGAGAGCTAAACCCTAGGACCCAAAACCATGTACCCCAAACCCGACTTTTTTTGAGCCGGGACTGCAAATGCACTAAGCCCTGAAAACAACCCTACATCCGAAACCCTAAACCCAAAACCTAAAACCCTACAAGCCCTCAGCCCTTCTTCGAGGAGGCCACCTTCTCACAGGCACTGATAGCGGCGCCGTAGGAGACGATGTCAGCCTCTAACGCCTGGCGGTTGCTGCCTTAGATACGGATCCGATATCCCACAATCCCCTCTGTAAGTAAGCCCACGAAAGGATACCTTACTCACAATTTTATGCCTGGGTGCTGTTTGTGGTTCATGGTTGGGGCTACAGAATCAGGTGGTGGTGCTTAGCCTTCGTGGATATCATAGGGGCGAGCACATCCGTTGTTGCATGATGACGAAAGCCCTAAAAACACGAAGGCGTCTTGACCGACCTCGTCTAGGAGATTCTGCAGCAGCAGTAGTGCCAGCCGCCATTGTGCACCCTTCCTGGCTGGAACCCTTTCAAGGAACCCCTGTACCAACCCTTGTAGGAGCCTTGTCACAGCCCTTGTAAACCTTAAGGGTATACTACAAAGGCCACTATAAAGGTTGAGGTCGCAAGAAGAAGATTCGGGATAACAGCACGATGCTGGACCTCCCAATGGGGCGTCTAAGCCCGAAGCTACACAGGAATTCGGATTATACCTCCAGGCAAAAGCTCCGGGGTCAAGGGCTTGGTTGCTCTAATTTGTGGTACGGTTTTGGAGTAGGGAAATCGACTCTGGTTTTGCCAGGCATCCCCAGCAGAAGCCGCAGCAGCAATAGTACAACTGATGTTCATGCACCGTAGGTTTCCAAACATGACAATAGCAATCAGCCAGCCACAAGGACCGAGCAATGGAGACTGAGGGCACGAAGCGACGATGACGAGTTCTTGAATGACAAGAGCCGTGTTGACGTGAATTGCGAATTCTGCCTCCGAAACGGTGACAAGCATAGCGAGAAGAACCATCGTTGGTTACTTCCCACTACGTAGTATACGTACTATATGACTGCCTGACCCCCCATTTGCACGCAACTCGCGCTGTCCAATCCTTGCCAAGGCTCTCACACGCGCTCATGGCCTTGGATAGGCCCGGAAACCCAATCGCCAACGGTCACTAACCCTAAACCCGTGCGGGTTTCAGGGAAACCTGAAGCCCTGAGTCATCTACCGATCTCCCGGATGTCGAAAAGTCATAACGACACTTCACGTTCTGCAAACATTGAACTTGAAGAAACACTTTTAGTCCCCGACCCCGCGTCATCAAGCATAGACACTAGCTGAAGAATAACAGGCAGGGAGAGGGTTGGAGAAAGTCTTCAGGAGCGCCATTGCTTCAAGGAGCCCGCCTGACATAGCTCTCAAAATTTCTTGCATCGACAGATGGCCTTTGTATGACCCACAGTCCTAGATGACCGATCTTGGGGCGTGACAATGATGCGGAACTACTGTTCATCCAAAGGCGGAGCGGAACCCTGCGTACTGTATATCATAAAACACCCTTTGCCAGACCACTGCGTTGTAGATGATCAGGTTCGGCTTCAATCCTGCGCAACAGTCATCTTGGGAAAGAGTGTGGGGCTCGCGCTCTAGGGCTTAGGTCGGCTTAGACCGGTGTCAAAAAGCCCGAACGACCTGGTTGGGTCCGAACCCCCGGTAACAGTAGGTTGGGGTCCGAAACCCTAAACCCTAAACCCTGGGTTAGGGCCTAGAGTCCGTGTCGAAGCTGAAGGTTCCGGCAAAGACATTTTCCCGATTTCGATCGGACACGCATGGTTACGAATAAGCCTAAACCCCTAAGGCCTAAACTATGGTAGTGTAGTTGCCCTCAGGCCCTAAGCCCTAAATTACCACGGCCTAACTCGTTATGTAGCTGCCCGACACCCCCAAACCCGAAATTACCAAAACCCGAATAAGCTGCAGTTTCGGCGGTAATGTAGTTAGAATAGGCTTTTGGGGGTTCCATATTATAACTCCGGTATAATATACCCCCAAACCCTGTTCTAATAACTAAGGCCCCTATATTGCTTGCATGCGTGGACGATCTGACAAAGGACGGGGTTTTGGCAACTTCGGGTTCAGTTTACAAGGAACGAGATAGGACTAATGGGTTTAGGGTTTAGCATTTAGGGTTTAGGTTGAGGGTTTAGGGTGGGGATATAGACCCTCTGAATAAGGTCCCCTTTTTCAGAGAGCCAGAAGTAAGGTTAAGAAGGGTCCCCTGTAAGGGGGTCTCCCTACTACTAGCTAGGATTAGGTACAAGACCCAACCATGTTATGTAGCGGTTGTGTAATAAGGGCTCTATTTCGGCAAGAGTTCTATACGGGATAGTGGCCAGAATAATTGGAATCGGGCTTGGGGGCTATGCCATAAACTGTACTCTATTCACACAAACTCAGCTACCAAGCTGGGCTTCAGGGACCTTAGACACTCCACAAGCAGTCCAGGATATGCAAAGCGCTAAGCAGCCCGAGTCAGAAATTGCTTGGTTTGTGTAGTCCTTTTTGAACTCGGCTTGTAAAATCCAAACGGCCGAAGCGAAACAAGTCCAAAGCCAAAGGGCCAAATTCTGCTGAACTGCTTTGACAGAACCGCTTCGGCGCCTACTGCGTGCCACTCTTTTCAGACGGCGGCCAATTTTGCTCAAGCTGCAGGCTGGGGAGGCTTACTGAATGTTTAGTCACCACTACGATCGCTGCAGTAGCACAAGGAAGAATGTCATCATGAGTATGAAACTGACAAGCAACAACAGTCTTCAGGTCACGGTAGGCCTTCACCCTAGACCCAATAATGCCCAGCCCGTGAGAGTCTATGTGTCTTATCGCTACGCAATAGATGCATAGCTGAAGAGCTTGTACTGGGATAGTCCTTAAACCCTAAGCCTTATAGACCCACCATAAACCCTAGAAGCTCTATGACCCCAAAAAATTGCTTCAGGGCCGAGGCCTAAACTTCAATCCGGAGGTGCCTTCTCGGGCCAGGTCGGTAAAAAGGTGCATGGCCAAATCCCAACGCTCGGCTTTCCTCGGCAAGTCTAGGGTTTATGGTTTAGGGTTTAGGGTTTAGGGTTTAGGGTTTAGGCTTGGAGTTGAAGGCACTAAGGCTTCATAGACGCGAGGGAAAATCTGGACAGAGGAATATGTGCAGGACGCCAAGCAGAAGAAAAGGGCGTGGCATCGAGGAGTCTCGAGCTCTTCTGGCTAAGGCCACTCATGAAACAAAGCTTATTTTGACTCCGTGGTCTGTCTTGGAGCCTTTGGATGGACATTGAGTTGTCTCAGCTCAAACCGTCACCAACACTTATGCGAAATAAGTGCAAAACATAAACCAAGAAAGGTTGGTTCAACATGGAGGGATAGATTTGTGTACATACATATTTACAAATGCACAAGTTCATGTGTACAGATACTATGAACATAAACCCAAAATAAGTGTGTATGCATATATATATATATATGTATTTTTGTATGCATGTATTTGTATGTGTATATATATACATAGGTGCATTCAATGTGAACATGACAGCCGACCGAGATGTGCTGCAACTGTCAAGACTACGCTAGGAATCGGAACCGCGCAGAAGCAACAACAAAGCCGCCACTTGTGCTTCGAAGACCCCGGAGCCGAAAAATCTGAGCCAGCCTGAGGTTCTAACAGAACTCTGAAAATCTCAGGAACCCTGAGCCGGGGAGTGCTAAATCCGGATTGCCAGAATGATTCGGAGGGGGTTTAGGGTTAAGGGTTTCGGGGCTCGAAGGCTATTTGGAGAATTGGTCAAGACTTTTAGTGACTAAAGGCTTTGCAGGGCTAGGAGCTTGCTGCGAGGGTTCTAAGGTCATGTGAGTGCCCTGGGGCGGAGAACCCCAAACTAAATCCCGCGCCAGCAGACTCGCACGCCGACATGGCCGCACCATACCTGCATCTATTCACCGTTCAGATTCCCGGTTAACGAATGCATGTCGGTTGGAACGGGCTTAGACCAATCACTCTGCAAATGTTCACTTGAATGCATGCTTTGTTTCTGTGCACCTGCTGTATGACTACAACTAACAATGATTCCGCCACATCCAGCTAAACCCTAAACCCTAAACCCCTAAACCCTAAACCCCTACTTTATCGTAATCGTCGCCTGTAGTCGTAGGCATTCGAAGTAAATTAGCCGTCGTAGTAGTCGTCATCGTCGGTGTCGGTATCGGTCGTCGTGGTAGAGTAGTAGCAGTAGCAGTAGCCGCAGCTGTAGCAGCAGCAGTAGCAGTAGTGGTACTAATCGTCGTCCTACCTGCGGATCATCGTATTGGTAGCACGAAACCACCAATACCAGTCATAGCCACAGCTTCTGCGATGGTAAACAACACCTGTGGCAGCTCACCCAACACCAACAGCATCGCGATAAACGCAAAGTGTGTTCTTTGCCTTGTTCGCTCTTCCTGAGCTTCTACCCACAAGCCTAAATTCCTTTTCTAATATGTCCTTCTTCCCTTCTGGCTTTCGCTCCTCGTGCTTCTTTCTTCATTCCGTCTTTTGTTGGGCTTTCCGCTTCTTGTCTTTCGGTGATTGTTCCCTTGTGTACTTCCTGTCTTCCGTCGTGAATCTACAATGTTTTTTTCGCGAGACTCTTCAGTTCTACGAAGGCGGCAACACGAGCACAGATCAAACTTGTCAACAGCAGAAAGTATAACAAGGGGTCAAGCGTCAGAACAGGTCGGGTATGCATCCCGGGGGCGGGGTAGAGTCATCTACACCTAGGTTCTCATCCTGCTGCTCACCACTCCTCAACAGCAGGGCGGCAGAGCCTCTCAGCCTTCTCGCCTCCGACTCCTGAGCCCCAAGATAAGGGCCTTAATAATTAGAATAGGGTTTCGGGGTCCCTTGTACTTTAATTATAATAAAGAGCCCCCAAAATAGTATCGGCAATTCTTTGGGCCCCATATAGTATAAACCTTAAACTCATCAGTTGCAAACCATGGGCGTGACCACGTTCGCCCGGACGTGCGCCAGCGAGAGCCTCGGTAGTCTAGGGGCCTCAAATGGCTAGGATAGATTCCCTCGAAGGGTCTAAAGGGCATTGCATGGGTGAATGTAGGGGCCTTATCTTTTAGAATAAGGTTTTGAGGAAAATTCTACTACACGGAAAAAAAGCAGCCCGCAGAATAGTATAGGTAACTATTTAGGCCCCTATATTATGTACTATAAGGGTTCCATCATGTCGGGGCCCCAAAAGTCTCAAGACTTACACACACACACACACACACACACCCCACACCCTCCGCCTTAGTGCCGGTGAGGTTCAGGGTTTAGGGTTTAGGGTTTAGGGTTCAGGGTTTAGGGTCTAGGGTTCAGGGTTTCGGGTTTAGGGGTTTAGGGTTTTAGGGTTTAGGGCCGGTCTCACATCCTAAGCCTGAAGCAAAACAACAGCAAGTATTCAGCAGAGCATAGCGCGACACAATTTTAAGGGCTTACGTGCAGAACAAAAACTCCAACAAAACATAAATGGAAAGGACGGCTTAGTTGGGGCATCATCCAGTGAGGTCTTTGTCCTCACTCCCTCCGCCAGGATTTCGCCCGTGTTCCTATCCGAACCCAAAACTGAGACTCAAGATCCTCACACAAGGCAATGTGTTGTGCTTGAATGGGGTTTAGAGTTTCGGGTTCAGGGTTTAGGATTTAGGGTTTTCCGGGTTCTAATCTTTGCCAAGGTGCAGCCCCTTCCGAACAGTTTAACCGCGGCTTGCTAGACATGAAGCCCTCCTACAGTACTTTACTTCGCAGATTTTGGGGCATCGGACTCGTACATGAGAGGGTCAGGAATTGCCGGAACCTTGCGCAGAACCCGGAATACCGGGATCCTTGCTATGAAGATTCCTGGGCGTAGGCCGGCCCCAAATTTTTTATTCCCCACATCAATCGCTTTCCTGAACTCCAAGCCATAAACAAAAACTGAATCAAGTCCATAAAACACCTCAATCACTACAACCCTGACTATGCTCATCAAAGTCAACCCGAGGGCGAAGGCTTGAAGACTTTTCATAATTTCAGACGCTCAGATCCAGCTCTTTCTTGGTCACCACATTATGTTCTTCTGTTTTCCCTGTATCTGTCAGGGTTTAGGGTTTAGGGGTTTAGGGTTTAGGGTTTAGGGTTTTAGGGTTTAGGGTCTGCGCGTGCAACTTCAAAGAGACCCTGGCTTCATTTCAGCACCGCTCCATCGCCAAGTGGCTCACTGAGAAAGTAAAGAGCCTGCTGCCATTGTCCGCCCCGCTCACACGCACCTCGGATCGCTAGAGTACCCAGGGGGGTTTAAGGTCTTGATTTAGTTGTCCAGTACCCAAACGGAGCTAAAGGTCAACCTTTGGTATTACATAGGCTTTGTAGTTTCGGAAGCAGTTTAAGGTTACCTACTCTACTACTAAGGTAATGATAATTCCCAATGTGATTCACGCAGAAACGGGTCTCAAGCACAGAGCACAGAAGACGACGAAAAGCCGCGCAAATCTTTAGACTTATTAGATGTGCCCAAACTCGCCGAAACATGGAAACGCTAAGCAGCCTGTATAACTTTACAAGTTCGACACCTCTTCAGTCCATGTCTAACCGAACCTTCATCCCTAAACCCTAAACCTTAACCCCTAAACCCTAAGTCCTAATCCCGAAACACTTCGTGCGGCCTCGTCGCTGATCGCGCAACTGTAGCTGACGATGGTGAGCTGAATGCTCCTCAGTCTTTGACAAACAATAGGTTGGAGGTTCGGGTGTTGTTTGGATGTAGGGGTTTAGGGTTTCTGGTTTAGGGGGGTTGGGGCTTAAGGGTTTAGGGGTCTAGAGTTTAGGGGTCCAAGGTTTAGGAGTTTAGGGTTTAGGGGGTTTGGGAATCCATAATGCATAGGCTCAAAGGCCACAGAAACCCAACGTCTGTAAACAACAACAAGCATCTTGTTGCATACGAGCCAGTGATGACAGCACTGCTCATAATCATCATTGCGGCTTCCTGTTTCAGTGGCAATCGGAAGAGCAACATCTTCAATCTTCAGATCAACAGGAGCTGTGGTGGGCTCTAAAGCTTGTGGGCTGCTAGCCACGGTTTACGGACCGATGTGGGGAGCTAATGATCCGCCTGAAAACATGGGGCAGCTCTCCGTCAGTATGGGCTCTAAACACTTCAAGAAAACGACGGGACTCCAAGATAGGGGTCCAAGGTTTAGGGTTTTGGGCATTAAACCATGCCCTTGTACTTTGAGTGCCTATACCGAGCAGTTCAAAACGGGTGCCAAAGATCGAATGGCTAAGTATTGGGATGTCGGGATTATCGAAGGTTTGAGACGAAAAACGGGTTTAGGGTTTAGAGATTAAGATGATCGAGTTTGGGGGGGGGTAAAAGTTATCTAGGCTTTGCGATTCGGACTACCGGATCAAAATACTCTTAGGGTGAAACTTGCGTTTTGGGTTTGTACGTATGTATGTAAGTATGTATGCAACTCTGTATGTATGTATATGTATGTACGCATGTATGTGTACACACACATGTATAACAATATGTGCAAAACGTGTTAGCGCTCTTGGCAACTAAGCCTTAGTAACTCCATGTCATATGTATATATATATATATTACAGTTTACGATCACCCGCAGAAACCCTTCAGCCAGGCCTCGCCTCTTGGAGATCTTTCATCAATGTCAGTACATGATGGAGCTGCCCACCTTCCCACTGCCAAACTCAGAAAGCTGGCTTTAGGGTCGGCTTATACGGATTTAGAGATTTGTTGGGGGGTTTGGGGTTTTTCGACACTCACACTCGGACAAGCCTGGCAAGGTTTGTTTCGATACTGGTTTGGGGTTTAGGGTCTTAGGGTAGGGTTGAAGGGTTGAAGGGTTTAGGGCTTAGGGTTTCAACTTCAACATACCCCACTTGGAGGCCCAGGGGACATAGTAAGTAGGTTATAAGTAGAGTTATAGGTACCCTAAATGGAGTTACCCAATTATAACCCTACTTATAACCGACTTACTAAGTCCCATGGTGCTCCAAGAAAGCCCCATAAAGCCGAAGCTCTGTACTGCCCCTAACCTTACCAGGCCCTAAGCTGAACCGGATCTCTCCACAGCCTTATCCGCAAAGCGCTCCACAGGGGTTCGGCCCATTGAAATGGGAGTTTCCGAAAATAAGGGGGTACCTTATTTCGGGGTCCTTATAATAAGGATCCTGCTTTTTAGGGTGCTATGTTAGGGTCCCCTATTTTCGGAAACCGCCCAATGTGTCCGGCATAGAAACTCGAACCTGTATGGGGTGAGCTGGGACCCGGAGTGTCCGTGTAGGGCTATCCTGGCTCCTTGTCATCTTTCCCAGCTAACCGTACCAACACTTGTGCTCAACCCTGTGCCCTTAACACTCAAACCTAATCTTAGGGGCTGAGTACCCTAGCCCTAGCCCAAAAAAGGTTAACCTTTCGAATTATAGTAGGATCATAACAGCTCCAAAAAGTTAAAGGTTACCTACTCAGCCACTAAGTAATCACCTTATTACCAACTCCGAATCGCAAACACTCAGACGAACATGCGGCGCCAGATGCTGGCTACTAACCAACTCCGAGCTCGCATGGACCTAGTGAACTTCTACCATAGCACTTGGTACGGCTGATGGACAAAATTCTGCATGACCCAAGTATAGTATCGTACCATAAATCCCATGGTTTATGTATATAAGGTCATGCAGGATTTTGTCCATCAACAGTATCACACTTTAGATTGCAGTATTGAGATATATCGCTTTACATCTGACTCGATTACACTAGCTTTTTTGATTTATATTGGAATATAGGATTGCACATCGCACTCGTTCTATTCCACTCACTGTTGCTTTATATTGAAGTAGCATGTTATGTTATAAACATTTCTTTTCCGCTATGTCATGCTATGCCCAGTTATTTTAAGTATATGGCATGATGCTCGGTCATATGATATGGTGATATGGCACTATGCGACTACAACTCGCACTATGCTCAATCAGTTCTTCTGGGCTTTGAAGTAACCAGGGAGAAACAAGTATAGACATCTATTTCATAATGGTTCCTTTGAAGAACAGGTCCCCAAAAAGTATCAAAGTAGGGAGAAACAAGTATAGACTTTTATTTCATAATGGTTCCTTTAAGGAACAGGTCCCAAAAAACGTATTAAAGTATGCTACTCCAAAGCCCAGTCTTCGACAACACCCGAAGAGCTGCCACCAGGCTGGGCAAGCGCACCTCGATCGCAAGCAGACATGGCCGCATTGAAGGACCTGAACATGGCTTAGGTTATAGGGTCACCCTACCTATAGTCTCCATTGTAGTTCCTTTTGGGGTTACCTCATAGGATCCTTAATGTCTCCATTGTAGTTCCTTTTTGGGGTTACCTCGTAGGATCCTTAATATAAGAAGGGTTAAGCCCACGAAAGGAACTACAATGGAGACTGTAGGTAAGGCTAGGGTCTAGGGCTTTGCTTTCTGATTCGAGGTTGCTGGAGCAGCTCGGAAAGCCCCAAACCTTATGGCCGCAGGTCTTCATTAAAACTATCAACCCGAAAACCTGAATGAGTTGTAGGCTGAGCTCTACTTCTGCTTCTGACTCCGCTCCCGGTTCCAGCTCGAAGCGCATGAATTATTAGAACAGGCTTTTGCGGTATATCAGGAAAGTAGTGGTATTTCCTCCGGCACCGATAACAGATGGCTGCGTCGCAGGAGGCGAGTCTGTGGAGGCAAACACGCCCCTCTACAGCTCGTCCGAATCCTTTCTCCAGACGAACATGGCCGTAAACAACTACCTAGCCGGATGCCCTTCAAAGCAGCGTTCCGCATGTCGGCTCACGGCATACCTGGCCGATATTTTAGAAATGTCCGAACTCATATCAGGCCTATCATCTTATTCTTTTGTTGTTGAGGCGATAGCCTATAGCTGCTCATTCGAGCAGTGGCGCTACAAGTTATAATACCAGATGTGCACACTTCTGGTACTTATCTAGTTGTGTTCTCAGACTATGGTTCTGCGAGTCGTCGAAGGCTCCATCGTGCCACTGGACATCCTTCCAGCTAGAGCGAGCCCGGAGGCACGGACAAAGCGGCAGGCTTCACAATATCTTATACAGCTCAGCCTCAATCACAGTGTACAGTCGCGGCCCGTACCAACCTGATAATGTTCAGAATAGCCGCTAACCTTTCGGCATACTACTCTTTGGTCCAAAGCCTAAAAGCCTCAACATACAAGTCCTCAGAACCTTACAGCGACAGTAGATAACGCTGCCTTGGAAAGGACAGATGCACTACGTCCAGATCCGGAACTTCCCCGCATTGTGAAGACGAGGGGCACAACATCTACAAGCGACTCTGCACATGCTGTGGCGAGGACCTCCAGTGCCTCAGCAAGAGAAAGCATCCGTTCTTACACATGTATACATGCACATTTGCATACGAACATGCATATGCCTATGTAGATGTGTATGTCTACATGCGGAATGGACATTATGTGTGCATATACATATATGTACATGTGATATGTGCATACATACATACATACATGCATGCATGGATGGATGGATGGATGCATGGATGGATGAATTTATTTATGATGTATTTACGTATGCATACTTGCACACTTGCAAAACTGGACTGTGTAATCGTATATGTAGAGGCATAAAGGTATGCAGGTAAATAGTTTGTTGATGGCTCGATACACCGATGGATAAGGGAGGCTACTAGTAGGGCAAGCCTGCAAAACGTCTGCCATGCAAAATGTCTTCGAGGACAGGTCTGTTAGAGTGTGAGTACAACTGCGACACCGCAAGCCTAGAGTCCGAAGGCGTGTGCGCTGCACCGTGAAGCGATGTGGCATCGCGACGGCAGCATTCAACTTCTGACACATAGTAAACACAGTAAGGCCGTGTCAGTGTCTGGGAGAGCTGGTATCCTGTCCGAGGAAACGAAAGAAAGACAGACGATAGATTGAGAAAAAGAAAGAGACAGATGGAGAGAGATAGAGAGAGAGAGAGAGAGAACATCTAAGCAATCGGGCGGGTTGTCAACCTGCTGGTTCGAGCTGGAAGCATCGAACTGGAACTGCTCCGCACGGGGTCTGAAAGCCCGAGGGAGGCGAAAGCCCAAGCCCTAGAACATGCAAAGGCTATACATGACATAGCTAAACATTGAGGTCTGTTGGAATGTTTCAGGGCTTAGGCTCTAACTACAGTAATTAGTCAAGTTTGGAACACCAGGCAAGACAGAACTAGTGTAGTATGGTCTATAGTGAGTATAGTATAGGGACAGTATACTACAGTATAGTAGAGTGTAGCATCCCAATGCTCAGAATCGGCATCAGCCCTGTGATCTCCATTCCGTGGTTTAGGGTTTAGGGTTAGCCTTGTGATTTTGTCGGGTTTAGGGCTTAGCGGGGTTTAGGCTTTAGAGCCTGTTTTTCTCTCGCATGGCTCTAAAGCCTAGGGTTCAGAGTTTGGCCATGAACTATATAAAGAGCGTAAACTTCTTCTGTTTGATCCATTCTACTCCAGAAAACCTGCATTCCCGAGGCTTCGTGCCGAGGGGCTGGCACCGGCTGTTCACATTAAGAGCTCTGTTCAGTACATGTAAGGTCATGTGCACCTGCTCAAAAAAATATGGGTGGCCAGGACAGACATACCCGCAAAATTCACGAAATCGCGACTCTTCCGGGCAAGCCTGAAATGCTGCCAAAGACTCCACTGGAGCGCAGAACTCTGCTTTTATCCGGAAGAAGATCCAAAAAACACTCCAACAGGTTTAGAGTTTCGGGCTTAGGACCCAAACCCAACAACCCGAACAGTGGCAAGATACCCGCTGCCACTGATGGCTCCGGTCATGAGCTGTAATCAGCGTGTTGTAGGTCACAAGGCTCGGCTGCATGACTGCCAAGGGGCCGTGGGAACTGAGCCTAAGGGTTTAGGGTTTTTCTCGAACCCCGAGAGGATATTTTTTATGGGTAGACAGCGTTATAGACAAGACCCACGAAGTCCCCATCGAATGTGCAGCTAATCATGGAGACCTGGCAAATAGCTGACCAATTCCAGAGGATACATTGAGAGGTTCTTGTACACTGAACTCTCAACTTTGAGACTCTACCCTACCTGGACCCCAGAAGTATGTAGA